CTAAAAGAATCGCATTTAGTAAACATGTTTTCAGCCAATTTTGGGGGCACATCACAGATCAGAGGTTCGTGCCTCAACAATTTCATATTTAGTACTTCAGATGTTTTTATTGAGGTTACAGCATCTAGAAAAGACTCATTATATATAAAGAGTATTTCATGTATTATAGAGATTATCATTAAAGAGTCAAAAATTTTATACAATCCAATAATGCTTTCTATTTTGACTCCTCATTCTAATTTTTTCAAGAAATATTTATTGATTTATTCTCGTATTTTATTTAACATAATTTTTATATGTCAATGACTAATCTTTTAAATATGGTTTGAATAGTTTAAGAAATAGGATATTTAAATCTGTGACTTATTAAATGCAATAATTGTTAATTAAGAATAGTTGGTGAATTTGACTCTTTAAATTTGGAGAGTCAAACCTACAAGTTAAAATAGTGAGTATTTTGAAACTTATTTTTACACATAGTTCTTTAAAATAAAGAGCATTATGTATTTACATAATCTCATGGAGATGTTTTTATGTATTATTTTTAATATACAAATAAATATTCTGGTATAAAGAGGATTTTCCCAAATAAAAAAAGGGACAAAATTCTCTCCAAATCTCGGGTTGAAAGGCCCAAATTTGGGGAGTCTAGAACGGCGTCGTTTTTCCAAGAGATGCAATTTTGTGGCTCAAATTTAATGATACAAGTCACTTCACAGACCACAGAGAATATGTATGGCCTTGAAAAGTTTAGCGTCAATTCCAGAACAACAGAAATCCAACATTAATTAAACCCATAATATCTCAAATTCTTCTTTTCTTTCCAAGGTAATGAATTCATCTATCCTAATACTTGATTTATTATTATGAACTAAGTGTGAAGATTACTGGCTACAACTTCTTGTTTCTTTTACCTTTCTGTTTTGAGTTCTTGAAACTGTTAACTTTTGAGGATGTATGGATTTTGAGATAATTTTAAATGCTGCCTCAATATTTAGTTGAATTTAATTTGTGTATTTAATTGTTGATATGTGA